ACATCTTAAATTGTTGTTGTAAATGAAGGGACTTTAAACATTTCCTGGGAAGCATGGGACAAATGGGAACATGAAGGTAGCTTTTCATTTTATATTTCTCTGTTGGTTATACAGGGGAGGAGATTCAGGAGCATTTTACCACGGTATTTTTTATGGTAAACTTTTTTTGAGTTTTTTTTGCCACATGTTCTCATTGCAGGCTTTTCTACAGTTGTGTGAGTAATTGCTTTGTTGTTGTTGCTGCTGCTTTTGATGCTGACACCAAAACTAACAAGGAAAATTATGCTTTGGGTTAATCCCAAACCAAATATATTTCTGCAATATGCAAGCAGATCAGAAAAAGAGAACCCAATTATTTCATTCAGTCTGAAAACAATGATTCCATTTTTCAGGCAATGCTGCTCAGAGCATTAGACACTCAGGAGGAGACTTAAACGCTTTTCCTGAGATGAGGAGAGGGTGCTGGTGCTCCCTCCTACACCTTAATGACTTTGGTGGTTACCTGTGATTGCCGATGGCTTTAGTCCAACTGCCCTCCCTGCCTGATTTGGACAGGGGTTCACACAAAGGGCTGTGATATGCCAAGAGAAATTCTTTGCCACTAGGATAGAAAATTATTTTCCTTTTCTAACCAACCTGGCTAATATTTAAGACAGCATTCAAAGGGGAATTGCTTCCACATCAGAAGCAATTTCTTGTAATTCACCTCACTCTCACTCAGTGCACCTGCAGGTTAGTGGTTACTTACAGTTCTCTGACAGGGTCAAGACTTGGATTACATCCTGAAAGAGGATGGAGGATGTGTTATTTAAGTATCCTAATAGATGAGTGCCATCAAACCACAGCATGCAGGTGGATGATACCTTGTTTTACTGGTTTCGTGTCTAAATTAGCAGCTCAGATAACTGCAGAAGCACAGAGCACTAATTCGTTCATTAGAAAGGTCCATCTACAGCCTGATGTGCAGGGGATATAGACACTTCTGTAGTCACCCTAAGTTAGATGATCAAAACAACCTGGTTGAACATACCTCCACAGACTATGAATCCAATCTTATGAATAAGCCATGCCATCTTAAATGACATAATAAAACAGCTGGAGAAATAAACATTATTGCTCATTTTTTTCTCAAATTTCTTAGGCTGAAATTATTTTCTGAATTTACAGATATTTTCAGGGCCACAGAAATGCACATTATATAAAAAAAATGTGCAAAAGTAAAACAACTTCTTTTAAAAAGAAATGCAGCCTCAGTTTTTCTGCTTCCATATTGTTACCATGAATAAAAAATCTTCCCATTACATTGACTATTTTTCTCCTTTTTAGTGATCAGTTTGTGAGATAAGGAACATATCTCGGAACCTCTGAGAGCAGCGTCTGTTTGTGTAATTGCCCGTTTGCTCCCAAGGAACTGTTACGTGATAAAGCACCATTCAGTGTATGGACAGAAAATGTCAGGCCTTGTAGAGCTAAATATAAAAACTGAATAGGAAATGTCTGAACAATTTTGTCTGTCTCTTTATACACAGTTACTTTCAAAGACCTTTTTAGAGATGGATTTGGATTTACACTTTAGCTAGGGGCATGCAGCTTTCACAAATCTTTATTACCAGAAAAGCCAACCCATTCTGCCACACGATCTCTCACTCTCTAGGCATATTTTATGCAGTCCATTTAAAATTCTTTTTTAAGAGTGGTAAATTGATTTAAACTGTCAAGTAGTCATTCTGGTTATATAACTCTTATTTTCTGTGTATTGTGATTTTAAATTGCTTTGCCTTAGGCTTTTTTTAGATACAACCATCTTGTGTCTCTCTGAGGATTTTGTATGCATGCCTATTCACACAAAGTTTCTACTTCAGTTACTTTTCCCTGCTGCTTTGAACAGAGGATTTGCAGACTGAGGCCTTTGCTTGTTATATGTAGGAATGCTTGATGCTGTGTTACTTTCAAAAGGTGAAATGGAAAAAAATGGAACTAAGTGCTTGGGATGTATGAGTGACATCTTGGCTTTGCAGAACTGATTCCACAACTGTTAATGAAGCAGATATAGATAGCTTTACTCATTCCCTGTGAGGAGGATTCCTCCCACATGAGAGGAATCTCAAAGTTTTTATATGTTCTTGCAGGCCATGGATTCTTACTCTGATCTTGTGAACAGTGAGCTGCAGTCTTTCTGTCTTATGTGTAGAACAGGGTCCATGGAAAGCTCTAGCTGCAGATGGAACATACTGGGGCTGGGAGAGCACAATGACATTCCAGATAAGCTATGAATCAGGAGTCTATACAAGTAAGTAAGGGTCCAATTCTGATCTCATACCTGGAGTAAATTAGAATTATTCCATCCTAGCTGACAAATTCAGAAGGTGACAAAAAGGCTGGTGCTCCAGCCTTTTTACTGTAAACAGAATTTACCTCTTCTCAGTATCTTTCCATTTGTAATTTTCAAACTCTATTTACAAGCAGTTAGTACAGTTAAAATGTGTATTTAGATACAACCTTATCCAGTGTACTCACATTTATAATTTGTGAGAGTCTGAGGTTACAGTTCCACTATATTAGTAGCCAAATGAATACTGAGTCACAGGGTGCATCTTGTATTTGGGTATTCCATAAGTGATCAAGGCATTAGTGTTCATGTTTGGCTCAGAAGATGGTATTTGGCCCATGAAACATATTAGTACTGGCTAATTAAAAAACACATGTATAGTTTTTGTAGTGTGATAGCATTCTATGATGATGTCTTCTGTAGCTAGTTAGAAGCACACAAAGAGTATTAAAGCAAAAGCAGTACATCTCCAAAGAATGCTACAGTTAGGTGTAAACATTTATAATTAGGTATATTTGGAATTACCAAACCTTTATTAAACAGGCATTGGTCACCACTTGCTTTGGATCTACTATGTCCACCAAAGGCTCCTTCATGGCAACATCTCTAATACAGGTCATGTCAAAGCCGTACACATTCTCCCACCCTGTCAATGCAAATGGATGTGTCAAAGATAAATAGTAATTATAAAATGTTGTGTTTTTTTTTTCATTTTTCAAAGCATCTTCCACTTCAAAATATTTATACTTTCAGCTAACTTTCAGGTCTCCCCTTTAACCCTTTGGTCCCTGTCGCAGGGGATGATTTATCATTGCTATTTTATGGGGTGAAGCAATTGTGTCAAAATGACCTATCAATTTATACTTTTTCACAAGTAGCCCTTGCTGTTTGGCCTCAGATTTTGGGTGATCCCCAAAACTGTCTTCTGTAAAATTTCTGGATGATTTTCAAGGTATCAGACATTTGAGAATATTGCTGACAATTATACCATATTTCAGATTGAGACACAGAAATAGCCATGGGGAATTTCCTGCTCTTTAAATCTTTCATATCCATTCTGGATAGTATTTTTTGAGGCATTTATTGTTTGCATTTTCTATTATTTATTTAATTAGCCTTAATTTCATCCAGATGACTAGTGGGTAGAATAGAATTACAGATGACTGTAGGTATTTGGGGAATCAAACCTTTAATCGGCCTTTAATCTATCACGTACATCATGACAAAATATCCTCCTTCTAAATAATTTAAGAGCTGTGCCAATCGTCTATATTTGAGCTATTCTTAGTCTTGTACAACAAAATGCCTCATATTCTTATATATTCTTATATTCTCAAATAAATGAGTCTAGGAAAAAGAACTCTGGCTGTGCTGCTGAACTGCTGTCAGTTTCTCAACATTTCAGAGAGGCTGGTGTTAGTTACTTAGTTCCTGGCATTATGAGTATATGGGAACTTCGTATTATATTACTCAGAAAAGATTAGAAAGGAAAGAATTTTCCACAGAGTTATCTCATTTATTTGATGGAATACCTTTGAATATAAACTATGGTCCCTATTAGCTAGAGACTTGATGCGGGAATTATGAGATTAAAATATACATTCTATATTTTGTAGGAAATCAGACTAACTGACTATAGCAGTCCTCTGAGGCAGTAAAAAAGTTTGAAAAAAATCAGAAATCAGTTTTTTTTAGAAATCTTATACTTTATTAATTCTTAACCAATCTGGGATTCTTTAGTGCTCAGCCCTACATTTCACGTGAAGACTCTATCCTAAAGAAAACCAAAAAATTGACATGTAAAGAGACACAAGAAGTTATGAACTGAAAAGAAAGACAAATTATGGAGTGAGAAAGAAATAACTAAAGAAGATAAAGTAAACGCTGGAGGTATAAAAAGTAAAGGGTGAATGAGAGCTGAAACCAGACAAGAAAGTGTCTTAAAGGAAAACAACACTTTAGAAGACGAAAAGAATGTTAAACATATTTTAAAAGGATGAAAAAGTGAATGGATGAAAAAAAAGATTGCTCAATAGATAGGAAGGCAGACAATAAAACAACAGACAATAAAAGGCCCAAGGTGTAGGCAGGAAGGGGGACAAAAGAAAGAAGAATACATATGGGAACTTCTTAGGCCAAAAGGGCCTTGATTCTTTAACAGAAAGAGTGCTTCATATACCCTTTTGAATCTGTGATTTTTTTAAAGGAATTTAGTTTTTGAGGTCCCAACAAAACAGAGAAGATTCTGCTTATCTAGACTGTGACTGTGCTGTGAGGAATTGACATAATTGTCTCTGACACTTAAAATTTTTGTCGTTGCCCTAGTACACAGAGTTTGTTTTTGACTAAAGGTGACTCTGGCATATGCAATGGCAGTTCTGTGTAGCCCATATTCGTAAGTAGGAAAAGATATGTGAACACGGTCACCGAATTTGTTTAGAGAAAGACTAAATTTCTTTTCTGAGAGGAAATGAACAGAAAAGGAAGTTACATATTTTTATCTACAGTTGGTTGAAACCACTAATCTTATCCAAGCTTTGCACATATCTTTAATTAATAAAGCTGCTTCAAGATTTCATTTTTTCCCAAAAAAACAAAAAAAGCAAAAAAAAAAAAAAGAGGTAATGTAGATTTTGTTCATTTTATCAACAATATTATGACCAAGTAAATTCAGAGCTTGGGTGATCTGAGGGACAAGTCGAGCATAAACTAGCAGTATTACCATGCGGTGATGAGGGTGAACCACATACTGACATATGAGAAGTGTCTGAGAAATCTGCATTTGCTTAAGCCTGGGACAGCAAAGAATTAAGGTGTGTGGAGGGTCTGATGTCTGCCACTGCCTTAACAGAAGACAAAAACAACCTTTCAGATGTGAGGAAGGACAATGAATGCAAATTTCAGCAAGGCACATTCTGACTGGACATTTAGAAAAGTTTTTTCCTCCTAAGGGTTGCTAAGCATTTGAACAAGTGCCCAGACAGCCTTTGGTATCTCCATCTTTTTATTCTATAGGACAGGCCACAGAGTGACTTAATTTAACTTTGAAATCTGCCCTATTTTGCTCAGGACTCTGGACTAGGTGACCTCCAAAGGTCACTTATAAAACAAATAAATCGTTAAAACTTCAACCAAACACCACTTTAAATGGAAAGGAAAAGTCAATTTTTGCGTGTCTTTGAATTAAAGAAAAATGTAATTTATTTCCATCAAAGTAAAAGGAAAAACTCTGATCCTTATTTTTATTTTTAAAGTCTCACTTACTTAAACTTTGATATATTTATGCAGAAGAATAAAGAAATATTATGCTCTTCTAAGTTTAAATTTAAGTTTAAAAGGAAGTGAGATGATATAAGTTCTTACAGTCTTATTTCTTAACATTTACAATTCATTTGCATCTCATTAATTTTCTTTTGTTCTTATTAATTGAAACCCCAAAAATAGCAGCCAAGAGAATATTACAGATTGTAATAGCAATTGTGTGGGATGATGTATTTTTCAATGCGAAACCAAAACTAAATCTCCTTAAATCCACATTTTTATATAGGGGTAACTTTAAGGAAACTCTAGATTGTTTTATTCATGTATCTTTAGCTTAAACTACTCTAAGTTTCCTGAATAATCTCCAGACTAGAGTTTTCTTAGTGTTCAGATATGCATTGTGACTCTGGCCTGGCCTACATGATTTCTTGTTTCTTTGCAAAGCTTTGTCAAACAAGAACTTACAGCACAACACTACATATCAAACATTTATAGGGAAATGACAATAGAAGAGGGTTGTTGTTAGGCATGTACTCACAGTGAATTTTGAAGTCCTTGTACTGTCTGTCTTCTATTGCTACCACGTACAAAGCAGCTCGGTCAGGAAACATTAGCCCTCCAGGTTTCTGTTGATGAATTGTGGGGAAATGGATCTCGTAATCTATTCACCTGACAAAGATACCACATTTTGAACTGCACGTACAAAAAACAGACAAGCACCCCTTGCATGCCTTTGTTGTTTTCCTTCAGATTGTCATATCAGCTTTAATTATTCAGCAATTCTTGCAGTCTGTAGCAATGTGATAGACAAATAGTGTCTATATGAATTGCACTGACAAAAAATCTAAAGCATAGCTTTTTTAAAATGTGACAGGTCTCCCAGATTGCTGAGATTCCCTTTGTTAGTCTTTCTTTTCAAGCCTAAGAAATGGCACTTGTACATATGTCTTTTTTATGGTGATGGTAGGAGAGGGAAGGCTTGTAGTTAAAAATAAATAAATAATGATTGCTCCAGCAAGAAGTATAACATGCAGAGCACCTACCAGCCACTTGTCTCGTGCGAAGATGACTGTGTTTAACATTGATTCATAGAAAAGACAGTAACCCATCCACTCGCTGATGATGATGTCTACTTTATCCACAGGTAATTCAACTTCTTCCACTTTACCTTTAAATATTGTGATTACTGAAAGAAGAATCCAAAGAAATATGTTTCACATGATAAAACACCTGACTAGGAGTTCCTTACTGGTGAATGTCAGGCTGACCTGTCTTTTCAATATGATTCTCTTCTCGATCCCCTGTAGATGAGGAGTGATCCCACATGAGTCAATGACTTTTAGACTACTATTGCACCAGTATTAACTAAAACAAGCAAAGTAAAACTCATATATCAAAACCAACCGACCTTACCTGGATACCTGCAGCACCTCATTTTACCTGCACCTTAGAATTTGAAAATTTGTAGATCATTGACCAAGAAATGCAACACCACTTACGCTTTAGCATTACACATTTATGAACTCACCATAAATATAGCCGAGATTTATCAAACTGGGATCTAATTCTTATCTGTTTTCTAAACACACCATGCTGGTTTCACAAAGAGGAGACTCAGACTATTTTTTTTAAATGAATCCTGGCTCAACTGGGAAAGGCAGCTGTAGCTTAGCAAGATATGAATGTGAAAGTTTGTACAAACATGGTTCTCATGAAAAATCATCTGTCATTCCCTTCTGTTTCTTGATTAAATCCTTCATAACATTCTCATTCTGAATTTCCTACCCAGTTTAGATTTGGATGTCTTTCCACAATTATTTAAAGTGACTGCTGGAAAACATTCCTGTCAGATAATTTGTCAGCTCATTAGTTTCATATAGCTTATAAAGGTTGCTAGAAGTTGGTGCAGCAGTATACCGGACCCTCAGAAATGGCATACAGTATGGCTCATTAAATGCTATGCTATACATATGGTAATGCTGTAGACTGCTTAGAGAGACGGATGGGAGAGCAAAAGCAGGTCAATAGCAATGGATAGAGCCAGAGTGGAGAATTTGCTCAAAGGAGAATGAAAGGTTGGTTCAGTTGTAACAATTATTTTTTTCAGGATCACTAAGCAATTTACCCAATATTCTTGTATTTTTAAAATATATTTCCTATTTAAAGATGTGTGTGATTCTTTAGACATGTAACTTTCAGCTTGGGATTGTCTACTATTTTTATTGTTTGTTCCAGTAGGTAGTCAGTCACATGGTTCTGGATTCTTCCATGACAGTGATTTCCAAGAATAAAACCAAGGTTAGAGAATATTTTACTTTCCATTATTAATGATGACTATATTACACTTAAGAAGTAGCAATTAATAGTTTATTGATGAAAATATCTGATATCATTCAATTTGAGGAAGATAAAGTTTCTTCCATTTAACTAGAACTATGTTAGCTGAACAATAGGAAGTGAGGCTTGAATGATTTTTAGAGAATAATCCATGAAAATGAGGTTTTGTGTTTCCAGAATATGTATAGTATAAATACCAGAAGTTGGGAACATTTTGATTCAGACTGGTAGCATGAGATATTAAGCCTGTGAGAGCAAACTGACTGAAAAAGAGCATAAAACTCCCTCCTCCTTTCCCTTTTAAATTTGTCCTACTACATTTAGTAGTTCAGTAGTTCATCTATTGTCACATTGAAGACTTGCAGTTAAAAACTCCAGTCACAAGCACTATTTAGTGCGCCTAAGACCATTCACTGTCTCTATTCTTCTAGAGAATTTTAGCCTTGTTTAGCTGCCAGTGTGACACCTGAAGACTGTGAAACCCTTGGTTTCTACTTAGAACAGTCACAGCATGAGCAGCAGCAGTACAAGATCCTCCCACTGCCCTTCTCTTTGATGAAACACATTCGTAAGGACCATGTGGGAGCAGATTGCACTATATACGTAACTGTATACATAGCTATATTGCATCTGTTCTGAAAACACTGCGGTGTTTGTTCAGCACCTTTTGTGGGCTCTGGATTTCTCTAAACAATTAGGGAAAAAAGTAAAATTTTATGAGCAGCAAGATACTTGGGCTCAGCACCAGGTCTCATTAAAATAAATGTGGATATAATTGCGGATCAGTGCAAAGTGTGCAAGTGTAAATGTTAGCTCAGTGGGGTAATTTGATTATGCAGGAGACCAGCTGCTGTTCCACAGCCTGCTAAACTTGTCTAATGAGTCACTCCTGCCAAAGGGGACGAAAATCTACTTTGTCCTTCCACCACTTTTTCCAAGAACTTGAGCCTGCTATTTACCTTGTGATGCCTCTGGAGCTCACTGGATTCTCCTTGCAGCTAATTTAACCAACTGATTAATATTAATCACACATGAAGCTCCTATTGCCACAGGAGGCTTCAGCTGCTCTTAAAATTGAAAGAATGATCCTTCAATAACATTCACTCTAACAAAACCAAAAATCAGCAGAAGTTTTCCTTCAGAGCTCAGTGTTCGGTATAAAATCAAGAATACTGATATCTCCAGCTCTATGGAGTGGGATTCAGCTCTGTGGTGAAGGATTTGGGAGTTCTGGTTGACAACAAGGCTCAACCATGAGGCAGCAACGTGCCCTTGTGGCCAAGAAGGTCAATGGGTCCTGGGCTGCATTAGGAATGTCGCCAGCAGGTCAAGGGAGGGGATTCTGCCCCTCTACTCAGCTCTGGTGAGGCCGCACCTGGAGTGTTGGATGCAGTTCTGGGCTCCCCAGTGCAAGAGGGACAAGAAGCTCCTAGACAGGGTCCACCATAGAGCAATGATTAAGGGGCTTGAACATCTATCGTCTGAGGAAGGACTGAGCGAGCTGGGCCTGTTTAGCCTGGGGAAGAGAAGACTGAGAGGAGATCTTATCAACATGTACAAATACATGTGGGGAGAATGTAAAAGACGATGGGGTCAAATGGTGGCTAGTGAAAGAGCAAGGGGTAATAGGTACAAATTGAAACACAGGAAGTTTCATCTCTATATGAAGAAGAAGTTCTTTGCTGTGAGGGTTTCAGAGCACAGCCTGGGTTTAGCCTGGGAACCTGCCCAGAGAGGTTGTAGAGTCTCCTTCTTTGGAGATCTTCCAAACCCACCTGGATGCCACCCTGTGCCACATGCTCTAGGTGTCCCTGCTGGAGCAGGGGCGCTGGACTAGATGGTCTGTAGAGGTCCCTTCCAACCTCAACCATTCTGTGAATATTCTGTGACATTTTCAGTTGCACATTCCCCAAAGGAATTGTCACTGTGGGCTTCTAATTCAGCAATTAATTCTAACAAGAGTTCCTGCACCCACAAAAATTCCCCGACCAGGTTGGAGGCTATTGAAAATCCAAACTAATATTTTAATATAGAAACCATTTAGTTTTCCAGTATGTTGTTTGTGCAGCTATTTCACTCAGGGCTATTCCAGGAACCTACCTGCTCTGCACCGAGAAGATAGGCTAATCAAGTTGAAACATTGACATTCCTTTAATGCCTTCTCCTTTTTGTGGCAGAAAAGTTTTTTTGAGTCCTTTGCTCCCTCCTTTTTCTGAACCACAATTTACATACACTACGTGGCCACTTATACATCACTGTTATGTTCCTTCTGTTTCTTTCACGTCATTTGAATACTTGCTGCATGAGAAATTCTCCCTCCAAGAGGCTACTTGTTAGTCAAAAGCCCTAAGTGACAATAAAAATTAGGGAAGATCTAGAACAGAACAGAAATCCATTCCTGTACACATGCTAGCACAACATCAGTGCAGACACAGTGGATTGCCACGGGATTAGTCTTGCCAGCTAGGGTCTGCTTTGCTCTGCAGCAAACACAAGCTCTTTATAAATAGTGCCTTGAATCTGGATCTAACTCAGAGCCTCGCTTAAAAAAGCCTATTTTCTTCAGAGTGTTACGAAGATATCTTGTGTGTTGTGGTTGAGGAGAACTGAAGAGGAGAATTGGAGCTGGTTGGAAATTTTCTTTGTTTAACAACTTTCAGTAGGCTTTTTAAAAAAAAAAAAAACTGAAATGTTTCCAAAGCCCTGGAAAATTCACCAGTTTTCAAGAAAAAAAAAAAAGTATTTCAGTTGCATTTTCATCTGAGGAATTGAAAGTTTTGATATATGTGTGCATGTGTGTCTATTTAAATATGGCTTTTTGAAAAAAAACATATTTTTTAGAAGTTGTTATCATAAGAAGCTCCCAGCCAGCAATAAATCTTTATGGACTTGGAATCCTTTTTGCTCAGAAACTCATTTTGGTTTAAGTTTAAAAGTATGTATTTTAAAAGTGTGTATAAGTTACAAGTGAGTTTATAATATATGATAGTGTATATGCGTATGTGTTGATTCTGTTTAAGACATGAGGTGGAAAAGAAATGTCAATTTCTTTGAAAAGGCAATTCTGATGCTTCTTCAGCTCTAATATGCTATCTGTTTTACTGAATCAAGCTAGCAGCAGATTCCATTTATTTCTGTTTACTGTAAGGCTAGAAGTAAAAATAACTTCTAGCTCTTGAGCTCTTGTTGACTGTCTAGGTGTTGTTTAGTTTTATACTTACACAAATAAATAATACAAACCCATCACTTACATGTAAGCTACACAACATAAATTAACCAGAAAAGGCAAAAATCAGTTAGCATCCCTTTCTCCTGAAGAAATTTTACTTATGCATATCTTACTGTTGTCCAAGTGGTTGGCCTTGATAATTTTTTCTGAGTAATCAGAGATGCTTGAGCATTCAATCTAGAAAGAAAAAAGAAAGAAAAGAAAACAAAGAAGGACAATTGTTGCTTGTTATGGGCATCAAATATCTGAACAGGAATAAAATCTATTAAAATCAGCAAAGACTGTGTGGAATATGCAATCACCAATAACAGAATAAATCAAACATTTGTATGCAGTATCATGACATTTAAACAGAAGTCTATGTATGACCTGACATGGCTCATACAGAAAGGGTTGTTCTTAAAGCATTTTATGTGTGGAAAGATTTTATATGTGGAAAGAAGATATGGAAATTCTATATGAGTCAATTACAGTCATCTTAAAATTCACAGTGTCAGAAAATTCTATACAGGCAAGTTAACTCTAATGAGTTAAAGCATCAAATGACCATGTTGCAAATAAAGAGCATTTGCTCAGAGTTTTTACTGTCAAGAACCTTGATTATGTTTGGTTCATATTTGTACTATGCTGTGTTTAATGTGTTTCTGTTTCCTGTCAGTATTTCATTCAGAAAAACTGACAGAAATATATGTGTTGAAATCAGTGTGTGTGCGCATAGAAACCCATAAAAGAGGTCAAGAAGAATCAGCATCACCCTTTAAATCACTAATTAATTTTTCTTTTAAAAGAGATTAGATATGGCAGATAAGTTGTTTTCTTTACACATATTTACTAGTATGAATTCGGGGATTTTTGCTGTCTTTATCTTCTTTATATTCTCAAATATTTCTATTTCTTCCATAACAGGATAGATCTAATTTAAATCATCTATTTTCACTTTGACTAAGAAAGGAATTACAGCGTCTTCACGTTCTAGGTTTGCCCTTGACTTTGCTGAAACCTGAGCTGTAGCATAGGTTATTTTTGCCGTGTTTTCAAAGACATTTTTACATCTCTTAGAGAAAAGTTGCTTTGCCTGAATCACTCTGATTTTTCTTGCTCTTTCACATTCATGAAGGCAAAAGTTGTTAATGATTAACTAATCAATTCCTAATTTACCTCTTCCAGATATGATGACATTTATCTGTCAGTAGTACTTAATATAAATCTTTCCTCAATAATTCCTATGTATTTAATTTATCCTCTAAAAGCCAGACTGTGCTTGCTATTTCTTCTGCATCTTTTTATGATACAGTCACCACTCTTTATTCCCAAATTTCCTTTACCATTGGCAGGGTCCTCACATCTTCCTGACCATCCAGTTCAACTACCATCTTCTGTATATTATCGTGTCATGTGTTGGTTTAATTCCTGCTCCCTTATACTGTCTTGTTTGTCTGAAAGTAGCATAGATTTCGGATAGTTCTATTGTAGGACTTGCCTGAATTTTGTAGAACTAAATGCAGTAGATGAGCTTTTCAAGGGATAGTTCTCAATGTTAGGATAGATTTTCATGGGATATGATTTCAGGCTCTTCAAGGGATTCAAAAGGTTTCACACTGACAGTGGTGTGTCACTGGAACAGCTTGTGAAAGGATTTGGAGTCTCCAGTCTTGGAGGTTTTCAAAAGTGAACTGGACAAGTTGTTTTAGCTTTACAGTTAACACAGATTTGAACAGGTTGGATTAGAGATATTCAGATACCTCCCAACCAATTCCATAATTTTCATTTCTTGAAGACCTAGAGATGATTTCAGCAATTTCCTAAGCAGTGGAAAGAAATAATTTCCAAAAGTGAGTGGAGGATGCTGAGGAGAACCAGAGTAACGGATGAAATTTGACCCTGAAGAATAAGGAAGAAAATAATTATTTCAGTGTCAATATGTGTCAGGAAATAGACACTGTGCACTTGTCATCATTCTCGTAACATACTATTGAAACATCACATCTAAGTGTAGAGAAGAAATGAGGACATCTCACTGTAATCACTGTGTACATCATCCATATAATAACTCTTGTCAAATGTTTTCTTTTTAATAGGAACACAGAGTTCTGTTGGAAATCTTTCTCATTACAGTGGGATCGTAGAGCTCAATTTGAATTTCACTGCAAAGTTGCCACTGTCAGTTCTCTGAGATGTCTGCTGTTCCAGCGCAAAATGCAATTCTGCAGCTTTCTGTGTGATGGGATTATGGATGTGATCGCTCATGTGACAAGAAGATTGAAACTCTTAGGGGTAGCAGAGGATTTTCTCACCTAGTCCTGTTCCTCTGAGTGCAAAGTATTCCTAGATGGCACACTCTCCAGCTTTAGTGACTAGATTGAATGGTCCATGGATAAGCTGAACCTGATGTGGCATTGAAATTTATGAATGCCTGAGGTAAGTATAAAGAAGTTCAAAATAATAATAATAATAATAAAAAGTCTCCCTCCCCACACAGTGCTCCAAACAAAAAAATATGTGGGAAAGTATTCATTTTTATTTTTCTGGATGAATTTTATGCTAGTTTAGCATGCGGAGGTGGTTCAGTGCGGAATCAGATAAGCACCAGAGCCAGCACATGGAGAGAATGAGGACCATGCAGCCAGAGATCGGGAAAAAGGGAAGGTGGTAGCACTGCAGCACCCTTTTGTGGTGTGGTTAGCTTTGTTACAAAATGTGTGCAACACTTTGCACGAACAAAGCCTGCATTAGGGAAGGCTCCAGGCTAATTCTCCATAAGTTTTTGATATAATAAATAGTGTACCTGGTTTACAAGAAATACATTCTAGCTGCTGGTTCTGCACAGTAAGTCTCACGCTTAAACTTTTGCCAGCAGCTTCTGATTTTTACTTCCACTGTCAAGTCTGATATGCAGAAGAGGGGCCCAAGAATTAGCATATAATATAAGCCTTAGAATTAAGTTGAAGAGTTTGTATCATCATCAGAAATGCATAGTTGAGAGATATCCAGTGACATCTGTGTCTTCAAATGCATGACTTTAGCCATGTTTCAGGAAACAATGATGTTGTTGATTCTTGTCTACACAGAGAGAAATCATATACAGTTCCCTTTGTATGAGCTCTGTTGGCTCTTTAGGGCAAACAGAAGTCAAAAGCAATAAGAAATTGTGTTTGTTATTTTAGAGACCATACGAATAGCTCTGAATACACCAAAGGGGAAATCTTTAGAGTAAGATGCTATCCCTCTATAATAAGAAGTTGTACTCTGTGGAAAACTGTGCTTTAAGATTCCTACAGCTTAATGGCTTTAAGGTAACAATTCCCTCCCCTATCCGAAAGGCATTGTTCTGTTCAGATTCTCTGAATTGTAGCAGACAGAAATTTGAATTAAAGGAATTTTTTTTCCAAGACCTCAAAATTTCAGATCTTAGGAAGAATTAAAAAGAAGCAAGATAGTTCCTTTCATCTCTCTGAATAGGAATGAGTCCTTTCTACTTTTTTTTTTTTAGCCAAAATAAAACACAAGTGTACCCTAATAACACCAAAGATTATACACAAAAAGTTCTTAATCTAGAAAAGACACTCCAGGTGGTAGAAAACAACAGAACTCCACTGGCTTCACTGTGATGTGAACCATATAAGGAATTGGCTCTATATATAAGGAAGAATTTCAAATGAAGACAAAGCAGTCAGGAGGAATCATCAAGGCAAAACCCATTTTGCTTCTTAGGCAAAACACAACAAACAAAAAAAAATGTGAGGGAAAGTCTTCTTACCCCATATACCTTCTTGGCTCCTGCCTTTGCAGCAAACATGGAGAGGATTCCTGTGCCACTACCAACATCGAGTACAATTTTATCTTTAAAAACGTGCTTATTGTGATACATGGAGTTTCTATAGGTTAATGTGCGCACTTCATCCTTTAACATTTCCTGTGGTGAAAATAAATAAATAAATAAATAAAATAAAACAGTGTGCTCATTTTCAATACTTAGATGCATTCAGTACTCCTGTTGAATGAATTTCCTTATTAAAATTATACATTAAAGCATTGTTAAAATCCCACCTGAAGAGTTATTCCGAGTATTTTGGGATGCACACATCAAATAGCTGTAAAATAAAAACTATAGAGGAAAAATATTAAGAAAAAGCATGACTTCCTTCATAAAATTTTATTTCTCTAAGTATTAGTTCACTGTTAGAAATGATAACAGCAGTAGCAGCAACAAAAAGGAATCTGGCAGCACAGCTTTGAGCACAGTCAAAAATCTCCTAAATCATGCAAAATCTAGCCCCTCAGCAGATGCATTTGGGGAGATTCCTCTCAGATCACTTCCTAAAGGCATTATAAAAAGATGTTCGTGAGATCTTTGATGTAAGGGATGCAGGAATTCCACAGTAGAGTTTGGAAATAGCATGCTTTATCCAGAGTCCACTCTACTCTCCTATTAATTTGTTCTTATTACCAAAGAACAAAGATTAAAATGAGTAACCTAGATCACTACTGCATTATTTTAAGCTGTCATTGTTACTGATTTTTACTTCATTGATAGCAGCATATACAGGTTTCTTTCCAGTGACACCATGAATTGCAGTAATCAGTAAAATAGAAAGTGCTGAGGTTAAGATCTGGGTCCCATCTTTAAGAGAAATACAAGAATATTCAACATACACTTCAATGTTTTTTTCAAAATTAATCTGTTATCTCTAGAGAGCTGAACCTTTGCTTATATTACTGACATCACCTCAAAGTTTTAAACAGCTAGACAAATGATTCTTTGAAGTTTAAAACAAAAAAGTCCACTGCCCAGCAGATGGAAGCACTGGTGCACCAAATTGTTACATGTATCATCTGCTCATTTATCTATTTTGGCAGGAGACTATACTCATAACTGTAGATAAATAAAGGACTATTTTGTCATTATGAAATACGGCTTGGTATCAGCAAAGAAAGAGGAAGAGAAATAGTCCAAGACTAACTATACATTTTCCTAAGTATGGGATTAAAACATGGAATGTCCTAAACATTCTGTGGGAATGTTTTCTGTTTCAATTTACATTTCTCATGTTTCCACAGGATTGTTACTTATATTATGGCATCACTTACTATTGCCAGATGGCACATTAGTAGAACCTACTTTTACAAAGCAACAATATTCCCTGAATACATAATCTGTTACTGAACCAAAGAATGGCTGAGGTTATAAAGGACTTTTGCCCCTGCAGGTTAAGCTAGTGTAAACTGCTCAGAACTTTAGGCAGTCAGGTTATGAATTTCCTAGAATGGAGACTCTACAATCTGTGTTTGACAAATATCACTGTGAAAAGGAATATATATATATATATATACACACACTTGGTTAATATTTAAAAGGAATTTCTGGTCTTCCAGTTTGTGCCCTTTGCTTCTTGTTCTTTCACTGGATACCACTTAAAAGAGTCTGGTTCCATCTTTTTTACTTCCTCACTCATCAGGAATTTATATATATTGATAAGATCCTCCCCGAGCTGTCTCTTCGTAGGCTAAACAGTTCCAGCACTCTCAAATCTCCTATGAGAGATATTCCAATATCTTAATCACCTTCTTGGGGCTTCACTGGGCTGATTCAGTGTCTGTTGTGTTGGGAGCCCAGAAGCTGTCAATGCACTCCCTGTTGTCCCATCATGTAGGTCATTAATGAAGAAGTTAAACAGTATTGCCTCTGCTATTGATCCCTTGGAGACACCCCTAATAACTGGCCTCCAGCTGGACTTTGTGCCATTAGCCACAATCCTGAGGCCAGCAGTTCAGCCACTTTTCGGTCCACTTCACTATCTGTTTACCTAGTCCATATTTCACCAGGAAGTTACGGCAGATAGAGTCGAAAGTCTTCCCAAAGTCAAGATAAAGAGCATCCACTGCTCTTCCCGCATCCATGGAGTCAGTCATTTCACCATGCAAAGCTGTCATGTTCATGAGGTATGACCGAATCCATGCTGACTAACACACATTGTCCCTTAATATGTCTGCAAATGGTTTCCAGAAGGGTTTGCTCCATCACCTTCCCAGGGCTTGAAGTAACATACTGAACACGGAGTAAAAACAGCTTTCTTCTAGTCTGCAGAAACCTTCTCCAGTCACCCTGATTTTTCAAATATAATCAAAACTTGAGTGCGAGGTGGCATCAGGTAGTTCCCTCAGTGCTCAGCACTCATAGATGCACCCCATCAGGTCCCAAGGGCTAGTTTGCTTAAATGTTTCATATCTTGATTCTTCTCTACTGAGGGTAGGTCTTTCTCGATCCTGAATTCGCCACTGCTCTTAAGTACCTGGGATACCTGGAGGAAAGTTTTACTGGTAAAGACTGCAGTGATGAAGTAAATTTCCATGTCCTTTGCCACCACATCCCCTGTCCCATCCATCAGTGGTCCCTAATTTTCTCTAGTCTTCCTTCTGCTGCTGATGTACCTATAAAAGTCCTTCACAACCCCTCCAGATTCATCTGCAAGAGTGTTTAACATTCCTAAATCCATCCCTGCACATGTTGACAATATCCTCAAAACACTCCTGAGTTATCTGTCCTGCTACTACCTCTTGGATGTACTTTTGTTGTTGTTGTTGTTGTCACCAAGTGCAGCTTGTTCATCCATGTACTGCTCCTGCTATTTCTGCTTGACTTTCTGCATGTCAGGATAGATGGTTCTTGAACCTAGAGGAGGTGATCCTTGAAAATCAACCATCTCTGTTAGACCCCTCGTCTCTCTAGTATCATCTCCCATGGTAATTGTCCAAGCGGATCCTTTAACTGGCCTAAGTCTGCATCCCTAAAGTCCAGTGTTGTGATCCTGCTTTTTGCCTTGTTCCTTCCTGACAGTATCCTGAACTCCAGCATCTCATGGCTGCTGCAACCAAGGCTGTCCCTGACTTTCACATATCCAAGGTTCTTCCTTGTTTGTAAATACTGAGTCTAGTTTGTAAATACTGAGTCTAGCAGAGCGCCTCTCCAAGTTGGTTCCTCACTCACTTGTGTCAGGAGCTGTCACCAGTGCACTCCAGAAACTCCTGAATTGCTAGGGGCTAGTTATGTTGCTCTTTCAGTAGATATTCTTTTGCCCTGTTTGGTCAGGTGGATCACACCTCTTCCTAATAGTCAACAGGCCTTGTCATTGACACCAGCTTCACAACATGTTATTGACCCACAGGAACTTTCCTCTTCTCAAGGGC